AGAAACCCATTTTATAATCCTTGGTTTTCCATGTAGTTCATCTCCAGAGAATTTCTTTCTCTTTGAACTACTAACAAAAATGTGGAGCATAAGAAAACCTTCAAACACATTTAATGAATGAATTTCTTGCCAGCAGGGGTTCTGAGATTTTCCATGCCATTTATCTACAAGGGAAGTTTACTTGTTGCCATATTAAAAATGACAAGCAACTGTAAGTAATCAAAAGCACTAAGTCTGTTATTGCAGGAACGCTGCTGACTTTTCTGTAAGAAATACAGGAAAGCAGAAGAAGGACTCTAGTTTGTAAGCACATTTGAGGCTGATTTGCAAAACAGTTCATTAAGCACTTAAACTTTCCAGTAGTTAATTTTTTTCTTCCATATGGTTTGCACTTCCATGAGTGAAATACTGTACATTTTAAGGTTAACTGCTTGACATTAGACCATGACTAGTGGCATGACATTACCTTGACTCATAGTCTCATAGTATATATAATTAGTAGGTGCTAAACTTTCTGTCCCTACATTTTAGAAAATTACTGTCTTTACTGTACAAATAGAGCCTGACCGGAAAATGGCAGTGGTTAGCCATCTTTAATTGGACGACCTGACTAATATTAATGATGTACATGCTGTTCCTAGGAAACTGCAGAAGACCTTAGCTGACAGTAACTGCAGAAGTGAATGGTGACATTTCACAATGTTTGTCAGGCACGAGAAAGGCACGACATTTTAAAATACTTTTTCCTCAATCGTTTATCAGGTTATAATGTACCACGCAGTCAATCTAAGAGGGATGTAAAAGCCTTCTAAAAGCCATAATGATGTGATGACTTAGGTTTCACCAGAGATACTGAGATATTTATAAACTTGATTGCTGCATTTCGTTTCTTATGACTTGCCCTGAAAGATGTTAGTATCCACCCATTCATTTGTTATCACAAACCTCTGTATCTGGGCTGAAATTACGTTTAAGCATTTATAAATGTCATGCTTACATTGTTACACACGGCATACTTTTGCTATTGTGAATGAGAGATTATAGTTTGAAAAGATATTGTCAGAAAATGAAAAAAATTAAATAATTTAAAATATTCAAGCAATAGAAATATTCCTTTGTGTTTGTCATATCTTGCACCATGGGAATCCATTAAAACAATTTTACTTTTTTTGTAGGGGTCAAATAAATGAGAAGAAACAGTTATATTTCTTCATGCTTCTTCTCCCTTCAAGCTACCTCCAGTTCTCTGCAGTGGAACAGGAGCGTGTCTACTGATTTGGAGAAACTATTTAAAAGTTCATCATCAAATTGAGATTTACAGAATCTTTTCATAAATAAAATAATTCTGTGAAGCAATTACAGTTACAGAATCCTATGAAGGGTGATTAAGGTCTGCATTAAATGGCTCCAGAAGGATTAATGGGAAGAGCAGCTCTTCCTCTAGCTCAGTAGCATGCTAGCAAGAGGTGACCAAAGACTGTTTTCCCCATGGGGTGGGCTGTTTTCCAAAGAAGCCTGAAGCTTTTGGAGATGGTGTGGCAGGAGATAGTCAATGAATAAACCAGGGAACCCATAAAATGAGGAGTGCTGGCTTAAGGACCGGACAGCTCGGCATTTGAGGTATCTGTGTTAGCCCATTGGGTGGAGGAGAAGCAGCTCATTCCTTTGGGAGCTATAGTGGGCCTGGGATGCTGGCTGTATTGCAGAGTCATTCAGTAAAACTCAGGCAGCTGGGTTTGCTTAACTCAGCCAACAGAGCAATGGCCTCAGCTAGTAGTCTGCCTTCCAGCTTGGACTTCATTGGCCTAGAGAAAAAGATGATTAGGAAAGGATTTAGGTAAAAGTGGCTCCAAAAAAAGGTTTCCAGAAGGTACTCCCTGAGTTGCAGTTTTTAGTCTAACATGAAAGGCTGAAATGCAAATGCAAATTAAGGGCTTCATTAACTTCAAAGTCATATCAGCAGATAGTAGCCTGTGGAAGCTCCCTCGGCTTTTTGGGCACTGTGATGATAACTAATGACTTTAGCAACATCGTCGCATTTTCCAGAATAGAGTCTCTGACTTTGCCTGTGATGGGCATGGACAACTAATGAGCGAACTGCTAATTCCCCTGCAGTTGGCTTGTAGCATTAATTTATTTCCGCAGAAATAAACAGTAAAAGTCAAGTTTGTTTCCTTTGGAGCAGCTGCAAAGTTTAGATATGAGAAGGACCCGTTTTTTCCATTGTTCTTTTAGATGTAAATTACACTGTTGAAATGATGAAGAGTTTTCCTAAAATTGTCAGATGCAGTCTGAAATTCAATATCTTCTGATATTGAGCAGAAACCCAGTATTTCTTTGGTTGCTGTGCCCAGAGGTAAGTAAACAGGCAGTGCTGGGGAGCTAGCAAAGAACAGGTCCCATGTGTGTGGACCGCACAGCCTTGTTCTCCACAGCCAGAGAATCAATAGGAGATGGATTTCTTTGCTTCAGAGAAAGGTGTAAGAAAATGCCCAGGGAGCTAAAATAGGAACACAAAGTTAAGTTTTGAAGCATGGCTGTTATTGAGCTCTCTGTTATCTTTCCCTTTTAATTCTTTTTCATTTGCTTTTAGATCAGTTTTTAACTCTTGGTTTGCTAGCAAAACTTGGAGTTCTGCTGACACCTCGCTGCCAATAAGATTCTTTGAATACTGGTTTCACACTTTGTGTTATAAGTAATGTTATTTTTCTTTATCAGTCTAAAAATGGTCATTGTTCCCTTTCACTGAAAATCACTCTCTTGTACTGT